TCTTTTTAAAAAAAAAAAAAAAAAAAAAAAAAAAACTGAGGATTTGATTGTTGCCGCTGAGAGGAAGGATTAATACGGAGGAAATTCTAATTTATAATTCCCTCAGGTTTTATTCAATTATGGAAAAAATATATTTATTTAGAGAAAATTTAAAATTCTCATAAAATGTGTTTAAAATAATAATAAAATAAAAATAACGCTTTGCTGTTGTTGTTTTTTTTATTATGTATTTTGTGAAATCATTGGTTGTGCATAATGAAGAAAATATTATTTAACATAAATAATATTCCAAAAAATATTATTTTATTTCTTAAATTAAATCAAATAAACCATTTTTTTTAATCAGGCATGAAAATAATCTAAGCTGGGGTCGGAATCTATTATGGATTTATGGCTATATTTTCCACAGAGCCCTTTTATCTCTTCTTTCTCCGTGCTCAAATTATGGAAGAAGGAACCGAGAAGAAAGTATTATAGGATAGTTCATGATGTTCATATCAATCTTGCTGGAACTTTTCCTACTTTCTTGGGGATTCCAATCACAAACTCATGGCTTCCACCGACCGACTCTTCTCTTTGGCTACTCTCACACCATCCGAAGATTGAGGGGAAGAGATTCAAATTTTTGGCCTCATAATCGACTCAGATAATTTTTTTATTATTTAAATAAATAAAAATTATATTAACATAATTAGTGTTTAATAGATAGAAAGTTGGCAATTGATCAATTGACAAAGAGGTCCCAATATTATAGCAATGAAAACACAAATAAACAGGTTCCAAAAGAACAGGGTTTGCCTTCATCTTTTGATCTGTCTTTGTTCACCACCATGATCTGATCTGCTTCCCTTTGATACCATCCTCTTAGAATCTGACTTGAGTTCCTTGATTTTGTTACTCTTCACTGACTTCACATCAAATTCTGATCTGTCATCTTTCCTTTCCCTCTCAACTGGCAGCTTCACATCTGCTGCTCTTTTTGTTCTATGTTCATCCCTCTCACTGCTTTCAGACAAGGCCTTTCTTTCTCTTACTTCCCTATCGACGCCGACGCCGTCGTCGAGCTCTGGTTTTAGCTTACCATGATTGTCACTGGTGACTGCCGCCTGTTTTTTGACAGAAATCAGCTGTTTTGCTGTGGGTGTGAAGCTTGTTACCTTTGAGCCTTTCTCTTGATCAAAGAACAGCACCTGCACCACAGTTCTTAAAGGCAGTCGCTCGTTCTTTACGGCATGTGCACGGACTTCTGATGATAACTTTTGGCAGTCAAGAATTTGACAAAGGCGCTTCTTATCTGCCTTGCTTATGTCAGGGTGTTCCTTGAGATACATGTTTATTGCCTTGTAGAGATCGTCGTGGTTGGGGCGAGCAATATCTGGCAGGGCTTCAGCAAGTTGTATCACTTTAGGCACAGGCATATTGATATCCATCACAACCACCCGAAGGTATGAATCGATGAGCTTCCCCACCTTTCTAATGTATGTCAAGAAATGAGTGTTTTCTGCAGCCCCTGAGTATTGCCTCCGCCACAGAGCTCGAAGACATTCCAACACCGCCACAACTGAGTCGACATCATAGAAGTGTGCACTGGAGGTTGACTGTGAAGGAAAGAGCAAGTCACTAACTCTTGCTTCCTCAAATTGCAGACTTGATCTTCTAATTATTTCACTTTTTGTCGTCGATGACACAGCTAGATAGTTTGACATGTTAAGGAGCCTGAGCAAGAAGCCAACTGAAACCGACCCCCGATCTGAAGGGATCATACTGACTATTTTTTCAAGAATTTGTCGACTGTTTTCCAGATCTTCTTTGCTTTGAGTAATCTTGTTCTCTGAGAGCTTGGCCTTACTGGTGTCAGGTAGCCAACGACAGGCATAGACATGCAGGGCTTCTCCAATAAGTTGTGGCGGTAGAATGTATGTGGATCTAACAGCCAAAATTATGCAACGGAACAATTCAATGTCAAGATCTGATAAATCCTCAGTCCACCAATCTTTTGGGACACTTTGATTGTTCTTTTTTGTGTAACCTGGTCTTGTATAAGTGTAGGACCATGATACCTGCAAGGAATCGTCTTAGTTCAGTAGCTAAATTACAAGAACAATGGTTCCTAGAACTAGTTTGTGTCTAGTCTATTCCTATCCCATTTAAAAATTTTAATCTCAAGAGTCTGAATACCAATTCTTGAACTTCTGAATGAATTAATGAACGAGATCACGTGTGAAGGAAGCATTAAGACGAAACTAATGGTTGAATTTGTACTAATTCTACGTAACTGCCCAAATCCTCCGTTAGCAAATATTTCTTTCTTTGGGCTTTGCCGGAAGTTTTTAAAACGCGTCTACTAAGAAGAGGTTTCCACATCCTTAACTTATAAGGAATGCTTTGTTCCCCTCTCCAACCGATTAGGATCTCACACAATCCACCCCCTTGGGGACCCAACGTCTTCGCTGGCACACCACCCAATGTCTGACTCTGATTTGTAACAGCCCAAACCCCCCGCTAACTAGATATTATCCTCTTTGAGCTATCCCTTCCGGCTTCTCCTCAAGGTTTTTAAAACATGTCTACTAAGGAGAGATTTCCACGCTCTTACCTTATAAGGAATGTTTACCTTACAAGGAATGTTTCATTCCACTCTCTAACTGATGCGGGATCTCACGTTCAATAATCTCAAATTTTTGGATTAATGGTACCTTAATATTAAGAAAGTAAGAAGGCTGACTAACCTTGGAATGTGGCGTTAGAATTTTCTCAACGATTGAATCAATGCATTTTCTGACAATTCCAAGATTCTCGGACCAATCAGGTAACTTCACTGTGTTTTGTAGAGTAACAATGGAATCTTTCCAGCCAACAAGAATGCAGGAGTGGAGAAAGGCCTCGAGCTTCAGAACAAGATTTCCCTTCTCCACTGCTTCAGTCATACGGAGGAACTTAGCAGCACAGAGTGCGAGTACGAGATTATGAGCACTGATATTAACGGTCATTCCATAACAAAATTTTGCACACAGCTCAAAAGCTTCTGCACCTCCTGGAACGTCATGAAGCTCAATAGTGGCAATGTTAGAATCACCCATGTCAGGGCAGAGATGTTGCAAGAGACCGCACTTCGGGAGAAGCTGAAACTGTTAACAAAACAGCAGTGTTATTCATACTTGTTTCATAACTGCTAACAAAACTGTCAAGAAATAGACCAATGTCAAGGCCCTACCTTGTGGAGAAGGTAACTGACATTGTCGATGCGTATAACAATATTGCCTGGGACATTGGAAATGACCGTCCTGCAGTGTTATTCATACATGTTTAGTCAACCAGGTTTCAGGGTTGGTTTTTGGAGAGTGATTCTGAAATGATACCTGGTAGCAGCTTCTGTGTAGAAGGAGTCAGGCCTGGTTCCCAATTTCATAAACTTCATTTCAAGAATTGCCTCTTCTTTTCATCGGTCTTCAGTATCCAACTGAGGAGCCCCTTTCATATACAAAATGCTATATCAATTCTCAACTCTTGGCTGCATGAGGTATAACTAAAAAGAACAGCCTCCAACAGCATGCTACTGCAGCTGTTTATGCTCTACAGTACAAAACGTATAGAATAATTGAATAGGATGATCTGTATATTTTCTAAACTGTTCTAATCCAACCAGATTCATTGGCATGTACAGAAACGTTAGATAGCATTAAGTAAAAAAGGAAAAAAAAAACATGGGATTTCAAGAAATCCATCAATGAAAAACAGAAGCTAAAACGAATTGAAAAAGCTATTCCGGAAAAGTTCTCTGAGGTTCTTCTCTCAAAGAGAAACACAGTCATATAAGGAATATGCGCGTTGTAAGTGCATGTTTTTCTTTTCCTTTCTTTCCAGTGTTGATTTGATAGATTCTCGACAAGGTGTTTGATTTATTCTTCTTGTCCATATTCAATTGGAAGCATTCTGAAAACGTCCACGCCAAGCATGGTGAAACTAAAAGAATCCTTCTATGTAGAACAGAGGAAAAATGGAAGGTATCTCAACTTCATTGAAGATTCATCGAGGATATTTCTTATTAAAGTAAATGGGTTTTGTTTATTTTCCACAAGTCAAAAACCCATTCACTTTACTTCACAAGTCGACAAAATTATCCCTATAACTGAACTAAATTCATGCGTTTCGGCACAAACCAAATCTGGTAAGAAGAAGAGATGAGAAAATTTACCAGAAAAAGAGGGAAACGGGAAAACAGCTGCAGAGCACCAAACAAAGCCCCAACTGATCGAATGAAACAACTGAAGAAGCTTCTCTGATTCAGATTCAACCACACAGCGCCATATGTTAAGAAGACGAGAAGCTTCAAATAAAGGCAAATGGGTGTTAAAAATCTACTGGTGAAGCACGCCAAATAAAGGCAAATGGGTCTTGAGTGCATGGGGACAAGCAGAGGGACATGGGGTTTGAATCTCCTGATTAGTCAAACCTAATAATAATCAAAAGCAACGCTATCATAACCGCTTGAAGATATACAGAATAGAAATGTAATGGAAAAGTTGAAGCAGGCAGACTTTTGACAAAATGGTGTTGTAATCTATGATTGAATACCCAAATAAATCATTCATAATCAAGAACGAGTAAATTGATAGGCACTGAATATTTTCATATAAACATTCAATAGTTCCAAATGAATATTAAAGAAATGGTTGATCTATGAAAAGTTCACCAAAGATTATAAAGTGCGGATTTCAGAGATGGGGTTAAAGCTAGGGTTTAATGCTGAATAGCTAAGAGGAGGAAAGGAGGCTTTACTGGTCTGTGATTCTCGAGATTCAAAGATTGCCAATGGCAGCCTTCATCATGATTCCCCCCACTAACTCCGCTGATTTTTCTCCCATCGATTGTTGGTTGGTTCTTCTCGATCTGCATGTCGGCCACGTGTCGCCGGCTGTATCACTCTTCTTTTTGTTGGTGGTTTCGGTGGCTAATCGCAGACAACTCTCTTCTTTCTTTCAACTTGTGTCGCCTAATTTCTCCATGCGCGAGCGGGACTGCCGCTGCCGTGCATTTTCCGGCGGCGGCGTTCACTTCCGATTCGAGCAGTAGCTTCGTGCAGAATGAATCCTTTTCATCGTCTTTCTTACAATTTCATCATTGATTTGATTGCTCAAAATCATGGAAGCTTGCCCAATTCGAATGGTATTCAGGTTGTTCATGACCCACCGCTTCTACTTTTACTTTCGCTGTTTTTTTGGTACACACTTACGTGATATTTTATTTGTGATAGTTTTTATAATATTGAATTTTAAAAAAATATTGAATAGAACAAAGAGTTTATATATATATATATATATATATATATATATTAAATTTTAATTTTAATTTGTCGCATTCCACTAAACAAATCTTGCAAATTTATCACTAGTAAATATTGTTCGTTTGGACCTGTTACGTTGTCTCGTTTCGCTATTTTAGTTTATTAGGGAGAGAGGAGGTCTAATCAGACTCATAGTTTAATCTACTATAAAGAGGTGGTCCAACCATACAGTGTGAGATTCACTTTGACCAATTTATGATGGTCTAACATCAAAGTTTCAAACCAAAAAAATACTAAATTTCACTTATGCTGGTGACGTAAGCAACGGTTACAATTCTTTTTCCCCCAAAATACAGTTAATTACGTTAACAAATCTTTTCAGATTAGGATTAACAATTTCTCTTATTCTTTCGTCCGCTGTCCGGAGCCTATTAACCGGCGGGAAGTATGAGCTCAGTCAAACGAACCTCCGAACCCCAGTTGCTTTCCTCCGGCAATGCCCACGATCTGATAGATTCCGTCGAGGCCTTTCTCTTCGACTGTGACGGTATTATCCGTTTCCCTTTTCGCCATTTTCGATTTCTGGTTCTTCATCGTTGAATGTTTTCTCGATTTCATGTCTTTTTTTATGGGTTAGGTGTTATATGGAAGGCCAATAAGCTGATTGATGGCGTCGCTGAAACGCTTGAAATGCTTAGGTCTAAGGTACACTTTCATGATCTTATTGTTATCAGAGCCATGAATTCTTGTTTCCGATTACAACCGTCGTCCATTTGTAGGGGAAGAAATTGGTTTTTGTCACCAACAATTCGTCGAAATCAAGGAGGCAATATGTAAAGAAGTTCCAATCTCTTGGAATCTCTGTTTCAGAGGTCAGTTTCGTCGATTAGAACTTCAGAGGAAACAACTTTTCTTAGCTAAACTGTTGTCGCCATGGCTTCTTTTGTAGGATGAAATACTTTCTTCCTCTTTTGCAGCTGCCATGTTCTTGAAAGTCAATAATTTCTCTCCTGAAAAGAAGGTTTGTCTTGTATTATTTATCCAAAAAGAATGATGTCTTAAAGCTGTTGGTGGGTGGAAAACTTTTTGTTTCAAACTTATCAAACTCTGTATTCCTTATTTGTTGATTTGATTGCAATAGCTAAAATTGTGTTCGAGAGAAGTCTTACTGATCATGTTTAATGAATTGTACAGGGAGGTTAAGGTTAGTTGTAACAGTCTAAGCTCACCACCAGTAGATATTGTCTGCTTTGACCCATTACGTATCGTCGTTAATCTCACAGTTTTAAAATGCGTCTATTGGGGAGAAGTTTCTACACCCTATTAAGAAATGGTTGATGTGTAACCTCACCATAGTTGAAGTCGGCGGATTTCTTATGGTTCCCTCACCTGGGATTTACGAGGAAGAGGATCAAATTGGCGGTTCCAAATGATTTACTATCTCCCCTCAACCCTTTTGAGTATGCGACAAAAGGAAGCCGGAGTGTGGTAGGAGTAGCTGTTGTCGCGTTTTATATGTCTCGTAGTTAGTTTTAGGACATATTTGGGAGTGATTTTAGTAGGACTATAATCACTTTTCTCATGCTCAAATCACATTTTTAAAAAGCTATGCAATCGGTAATTTGAAAAACACTTTTAAACCGCCACATGCCCTCGGCTCTCTTTGTTTTTCTGTGCAGGTTTATGTGATAGGCGAAGAAGGTATCATAGAAGAGCTTCAGCTAGCAGGATTCACAGGTCTTGGTGGTCCAGTAAGTAGATAACGTTATGTGGGTCTTTCTGAGTAATGCTCAATGGGCGCTGTAGCTTACCTCATACGTGGTCTATGTTTGTGCAGGAAGATGCCAAAAAGACTGCAGATGTTTATCTAGACTGCCCAATTGAGCAGGACAAGAGTGTAACATGACATATTGGCCATACTTTAACGAGCTCTTGCTTCTACTTTCTACACATGATTTTATCTGCCATTGTGATTGAACAGGTTGGAGCAGTTGTGGTTGGATTAGATCGGTGTATTAATTATTACAAGCTTCAGTAAGAAACTTCTTATCTTCTTCTTGTTGGCTTCAATATGCACTCAATTATTAATTACTGCAGTTTCTTCCTTTTTGCTATCAGTTTCACATAAATGGCATCATCAGGTACGCTACGCTTTGCATTCGTGAGAACCCGGGATGCCTGTTTATTGCTACTAATCGTGATGCAGTGGGGCATTTTACTGAATCACAAGCAACCCCTGGTTCATTTCTCTCAAGAACTTGATTGAAGAAGTGCTATTTCACATTGGTTGGCTCATTTACTTTATTAATTTCTTGCTTTAGGTGCTGGTTGCATGGTCGCTGCAGTTTGTGGATCATGCGAAAGGGAGCCCATTGTGGTTGGTAAACCATCAACATTCATGATGAACTGTTTATTGAAAAAGTAAGGAAATATAAACTGTGTTGTCATGTGAGGTCTCATGTTGGTCAGCATTTTTTATAAGGATATGGAAACCTCTCGCTATTAGAAAGTTTAAAAGTTGTGAGGCTGAGGCAATACGTAACGGACCAAAACGGACAATATCTACTAGCGGTGAACTTGAGCTGTTACAAATAGTATCAGAGTAGACACCAGACGGTGTGCGAGCGAGGACGCTGGCCCCAAAGGGATGGATAGTAAGATTCCACATCGGTTGGAGAAGCGAATGAAACGTTCCTTATAAAGGTGTAAAAAACTCTCTCTAGTAGACGCGTTTTAAATCCTTTAGGAGAAGCCCTTGAAGGACAAGTCCAAAGAGGACAAATCAATACCCTAAATCTCAAATAGTGTAACCGGTTTGTGATAACGATAGTCCACGACTCAATTGTCCGATCGATTCGATTTTAAGCTAAATAACTTAGGAAATATGATTATATGTGATCGATCCATTGACTGTTTTGGTTTTCAGATTTGAGTTTGGTTGCTCTAAAATGTGCATGGTGGGTGATAGACTGGACACAGACATTCTATTTGGCAATAGCACTGGCTGCAAAACGCTTCTTGTTTTCTCAGGTTTGGAATCTGGATTTCTGTCCCATTCTTTGTCAATGAAGCTAATTGATGAGCATAACAACTATGGCAGGGGTGACTACTCAATCCAGTCTTCAAGACCCTTCCAATGATATTCAACCAGATTACTACACAGCCAAGGTGTCTGACTTGTTGGGATTATTGGGGCCATGACAATATTTTTGCTGGTTGAGTGAATAGTTTTTGGTCTATTAATATTTTTTAGTTGTTTTCAACATTCTTTCACTAAATCCTAGATATGAAAATTCTATATTTATTTCTTTGTTAATACCAAAATCATCCCCGATAAACTTGATCTTAACGAAAACTGTGATGATTCTGATACGTAACGGGTCAAAATGGATAATATCTTATAGTGGTTGTTTTGGGCTGTTAGAATTGGTATCCAAGTTAGGTACGGGACAGTGTGACAGCAAGGACTCTGGCCCCCAATAAGAAAAATTGTCTCATTCTTCTTTCAGTGTCTTGTTCGACATGAGGATTCTATTAACATGGCTACATAGTAGATTAAGAGCATGGTTTTGCTTTGGGGTTCTCCAAAAGGCCTCGTATCAATGGAGATGTATTCTTTACTTATAAACCCATAATCATTCCTTAAATGAATTAGTGAGCGTGGATTCCTCCACAATCCTCAACACTCCTTCTACGTCAAACTTTTTAACTGTTCAAGGCGAAGAAGGAATCATAGAAAGCTCAGCTAGCGTGATCCATGGTTCTTGGTGATCCAGTAAGTTGATAACTGTCAAGACTAACAGCATATATCTTCCTCTGGTAACTTCAAGGTATGATACAACTATACACGTTTTTAATGATTTTCTTCATGTGTTCATCATTCTTACTAATTTTGCATATAAATAATCTTGGGTCTGCATTGGTTTTAATGAGTAATCTCTTTACGCCTCACATTTTTAACCCTTCAAGGCGAGGAAGGAATCCTTAAAGAGCTGCAGCTAGCTGGATTTCATGGGTTTTGGCGATCCAGTACTCTCCTCAAATACAATTTCAAGGTACGATACAATTATACAATCTTCATTCTTGCTAACTTTGGATGAAAACAATTCTGGGTCTCCATTGGTTTTGATGAGTAATCTTCATAGACTTTCGTTACGTCTTTCCTCGTACTAAACAAATGTCGAGCTGCTTTTTCAAAACCCAATTTTGAATACAAGTCGAGAAAAGCAATACAAACATACAAAACTTGGTCAAATCCCCTTTTAATGAAGTGAGTTTGGAGCTGATTGGCCTCCGCTTGTGCATTCCCAGATTAGGTTGATGGTGCAAAAGAAGTAGATGAAAGGCTTCAGGGTGGGCTTATGAGTGGAGCCCCTGAACGTAAGGGCTCAAGCAACCCAAACATGTGTAAGTAATTTTATAGCCTTTTCCTTAACCTATGAAATACATTTAAAAGCTTTAAGCTCTTTTGATTCATATGGCTGTCCCACTACCTTTAGCCTCCATTTCTTATTACTTCCTTTCCAACAAAAGATGCCCACTTCATTTTGTAATGCAAAAGCTTTCTAAAGTCTGACCCAATTGGATAGAAGCATATATTTAAAGGTGAAACTGAAATTCTATCCTTTATTTATTTGAACATGAACATGATGAGTGCATTTATTTGCACAAATTAATAACAATAGTTATAATTATTATTGGTCAGAATTCAGAAGTGAAAAGTGTATTAATAGAGTATCATTCTGATGAAACCATAATCGTTAATGTTAAACTAAACAATACAAACAAAAGAAATATAAGTCACAGCCCGCCATTGCCCCCTCTTTTCAAATTTTAGTAACCCTTCGGGTAGTGTTAGCCTTTGAGCATATCCAAAGAGGTGAAAGCATTATTCCATTCCCATTTTTTTAAAACATAGATTCAATTTCTTTATTAACCAGGGTAGGCACGTGGGACAGGCTGAACAGCTCGCACCTCTAAGCATGGAGCTGTGTGATTCTTAATAACTTTGTTTAATTATGTGTGAATTTGAATTCCAATTGCTAAAAACAATGTTCATTTTGTAATAAATTGGCACAGATACGAAGAAAGGAGTGCTTAAGCAGTCGGATGCCAAAGCTTTCAATTTGATTGGTTCAAAGCCACTGGGACTCATTATGTATAGTTCAGAAGACACTTCCAGTAGGTATTAAAAATATAAGTCACAAGGTAAGAATTATTGAATTAAGATTACTGTGGGTCCTACGTGGACTGGGGAGGAGAATAAACCACCATTTATAAGGGTATGGAAACCTTCCCCTGGTAGACCCATTTTAAAGCCTCGAGGGGAAGCCTTCTCGAAAGGGAAAGTCTAAAAAGGACAATATCTGCTAGCGGTGGATCTGGGTCATTACAAATGGTATCAGAGTCAGGTTCCAAACGATGTGTCAGCCTTCTCGCTGTTCCCCGAAAGGGGTAGACACGAGGCGGTGTGCTAGTAAGGATGCTGGGCCCCAAAGAGGGGTGGATTTGGGGGTGGTCCCACATCAATTGGAGGAAGGAAAGAGTACTAGCGAGGATGCTGGGTCCCGAAGGGAGGTGGATTGTAATGTCCCACATTGGTTGGGGAGGAGAACAAACCACAATTTATGAGGGCGTGGAAACCTTCCCTTAGTAGACGTGTTTTAAAGCCTTGAGGGAAAATTCGAAAGGGAAAGCCCAAATAGAACAATATCTGCCTTGAGGGGAAGCTCGAAAGGGAAAGCCCAAATAGAACAATATCTGCGTTGAGGGGAAGCTCGAAAGAGAAAGCCCAAAGAGAACAATATCTGCTAGCGGTGGATCTGGTTCGTTCTTCAATTTAGCTCAATTGAAAACTATGTTCATGAACGAAAACTGCCAAGAGAGAAGTTGTTCCATTGCCAAAGTACGGAAGCTTTAGTTAAGATGAAGATTAGAACTTGGTCAGGTCAAGTCGAACCCCACTAATAAGTTTTCCTTTTTGCGTCCAATGTGATTTTCAGTGGGACTGAAATGCTACTTGAATCGGTAACGCTGTCCACGACCAAGAAGAAACAAACGGAAGTGGGCATCAAAAGTTGATTTGTTGTCCCTTTTTAGCTGTGTTACATGATTAGATTGAAAGTATATAAACCATTTTTATGCTTTCCCACTTTACATTAATAAATATATTTCTGCCTAAAATTCGAGTCGACAGGGACATGCATAATTATATTACCTTAAATAAAGAGGGAAGCATGTTTTTTTAAATTAATTAATGTTGTTAGACTAATTATGATTGTACAATTCCGATTATGCACTTTGTCTCTGTAAGCAGGCACTAGGGGGAAAAACTTGCAGGAATTTTGGACTAATGCTCTCATAGAAATCAGAGTTTTCCAACGCACCCGACTTGGTTTTGGAGGCAAACAACTATTCTTTGTTGAAATCATGATGAATATATTCGAGAAATCAACAAAAGTAAGTTTTCCAAATCTCCTACATGAAGTGATTCCTTTGATTTAATTCCAGCTGAAAAATACCCTTTTTTCAACTGGGTTTGTTTAAATATCTCAACCAAACGATAGAATTATGTGAGTTTTTTAATGGTGGAAAAATGGTTACATGGGGAGTGAAAGGAAAGAGAAAGTACTCTGTTAGTGAACTTGAAAATGAAGGATTTTGTATTTTATAAAGGCGTGATAGACAGTGCGGGACCTCGGAAGAATTGTTTGACCGCTCACCCTCTCTCTACCTCTCCTTTTAATCCATTTTTATTACTCTCTCACTCACTCACTCACTCACTCTCATATCGCCCAGGACTGAGCTATTCGGAGACATCTTTCTTCAGCACTCCTTTTACGCTGCCGAGAAAAGCAAAGGCGCTCAATTCCAGTCCCTTGTTATTATTATTTGTTTTTTGGTATACTTTTCGGCTTCTCTTCCCTTTTGGTTCCTTTTTGCATTGCCTTATCTTCTGGTTCTGTTTCTCGCATCTGGGTCGCGACCTTGCTTTGGATCTGTGATGGGATTTCTCTGAAAACTGTGGTTCTGTGAGAAAGATCTGCCTTTTTGGTTCTTTTATGTTCATATTAGTCGTCCATCATGTTTTTAGAGTTCGTTTTGTAGTTTTGTTTCAGTTTAGACTAGTTGAAATTGTACCCAGGAACTTACTGCATTGCAGTTGTCTATTTCGTGGTCATTTCATCTATTTCTTAACGCATCCGCTTCTGTTCCGTTTGTATGGGTCATTTAATTCATTTGTCATGATTTTTCATAGATCAATCGTTGCTTTTGGTGGGCTCGAAGGAGATTTCGGATGGGCTGGTGATGGAAGATAGATTGGTCCGGAGAACAGCTGCTGAGCAATGGACCCTTTTACTTTGATTGGTTCTAAGATTCTTTAGTAGCCTTATGGCCTCAATTGCTGGTCCCAAAGCTTCCTCAAATCCGCCACAAAAAACAGCCAATGGTGCAATGGCTAATGGGAAACAAACATCAACTGAAGTAGATTCCCCTCACAATGAAGCTAGAAGCTCAGTAGATCAAGAGAAGAAAACATCAGAATATGGAAGTGTAAAGAGCAGTATATGTAGAGGGAGCACGAGCAGTGATATAAGTGAGGAGAGCTCTTGCAGTAGTTTTAGTAGTAGTATCAGTAAACCTCATAAAGCAAATGATTTGAAATGGGAGGCCATTCAAGTTGTTCGTGCCAAAGATGGGGCGATGGGATTAAGCCATTTTAGACTTTTGAAGAAGTTGGGTTGTGGGGATATTGGGAGTGTCTATCTCTCTGAGTTAAGAGGAACAAAATGTCATTTTGCAATGAAGGTTATGGATAAAAATACTTTAGCCAGTCGTAAAAAATCGCTTCGGGCGCAAACCGAAAGAGAAATACTTCAATCCCTTGATCACCCTTTCCTTCCAACATTATACACTCACTTTGAGACAGAGAAATTCTCATGCTTGGTGATGGAGTTCTGCCCTGGAGGAGACTTGCACACTCTTAGACAGAGGCAACCAGGGAAGCATTTTCCTGAGCATGCAGTGAAGTATGTTCAACTAACATGTGCTGTCTCTGATTTAGCCATATTTGCATCTATATGTTGACAATGATACTGATTTTTTTTTGTGTATGTTTGATAATGCAGATTCTATGTAGCAGAGGTTCTTCTTGCACTGGAATATCTGCACATGCTTGGGATTGTGTACCGTGATCTTAAGCCAGAGAATATTCTCGTGAGGGAAGATGGACACATAATGCTTTCAGATTTTGATCTATCTCTCCGTTGTGCTGTTAGTCCAACTCTTGTTAAAAATCTCTCTGCAGAGTCTGAGGCTTTAAGAAAGAACACAGGCTACTGCGTGCAGCCTGCTTGCATTGAGCCATCCTGCATCCAACCATCTTGTGTGGTTCCTACGACCTGCTTCGCACCTCACCTCTTTTCTAGTAAGTCGAAGAAGGATCGGAAGCCGAAAATTGAAGTGGGGAATCAGGTCAGTCCATTGCCAGAGCTCATTGCAGAGCCAACTGATGCTCGATCCATGTCTTTCGTTGGTACTCATGAGTACTTGGCACCTGAGATCATCAAGGGTGAAGGGCATGGAAGTGCTGTGGATTGGTGGACTTTTGGTATTTTTCTATATGAGCTACTATTTGGTAAAACTCCTTTTAAGGGGTCTGGAAATCGAGCTACGTTGTTCAACATTGTCGGTCAGCCACTTCGGTTTCCTGATGCACCAGTTGTGAGTTTTGCTGCAAAGGATCTCATAAGAGGATTGCTAGTGAAGAAACCAGAACAAAGATTGGGTAATGAACGTGGAGCAACTGAGATCAAGCAGCATCCTTTTTTTGAAGGTGTGAACTGGGCATTAATACGTTGTGCTACTCCTCCTGAAATCCCAAAGCCGGTTGAGATTGAGAGAATACCACACGCACACGCAGTGGCATCGACCAGTTTAAAGGCCGTTGCTATTGCAGCTGCTGCAGCAGATAAAAAAGCATCCGATAACTATCTCGAGTTCGATTTCTTTTAGGGAGAAACATTCAGTGTATGGCAGAATGAGGAGGAATCATATTGATAGATCATGAAGAACTGTAAGTCTGTTCTTGTCTGTTGACAGTTTCAAATTAATGTTGCTCAAGTAATGAATGGATTATTTTGACTCTTCCCATAAAAGTTCATTTACACAAAAATCAAACACAAACTTTGATCCTTTAGGGACAAGACAAGAAAGCTGTTAAGGTAATCGATGTTCATGATCCTCATACAAACTTAGTTTTAAAACACATGCAAGAAACTGAACTGTTTCGTTGTTCTTCAGCTACAGTAATGGTGGAATTAGGATCATTATCCTTGGAGCTATCATCTTGGTAACGAGGCGAAGAGATAGGAGAGGGCAATCCACCCAGTTGGCTTGTTTCTTTCCTTTCACAAACAACCTTAACCTCACAAAATTCTGGAGCTTTCTGAAGTATCTCGTTAGCTATTCCACTTCCCCCTCGAGATCTCAACTTCCTGAGGGTTTCAAAGTGGATAATATCATACTATTGTGAAGGTTCGTGATTCCTAACGTAATGGATAGTTTTTGTTAATGTACCTGGATTTGTTGGCTCCGAGGACTAGCTTCCTTATGTTGAGAATTGGTATAACATCCAAAATGGCCCTTGCTACCATGTCACTCTCAATCAGCACAGTGTCTGCCTTAACCTGTTCCATTAAGAAGATAAGGCACATATTCATTAGATTAGCAAAAAGGGGGCATGCTTTTCTGTTGTGTACCTTAGCCAGTGAACAAGAATCAATGAAATTCTGAAGAAAATCCTTCCTTTTGCTTTCTTCTTGAGCTACATGGATAGCCACTTGTTGTTTACTCACCTGATTAACTGGAATCTTTCCCACTGTCATCACAGAAACAACACACAGATTAAAGGAGAGAAAGCTATCAAAAAACAGAGAGTTGAGAGAATTACATGGGCTGGGAATGTAACGTGTCTCAGGGAAGACATGTAAGAGATAGACAACAGTGGTAGAGGTTGTAATGGCGTTCTTGAGAGCCCACTGAAGCGCTTCATTACTAGAATCGCTTTTCCCCACTCCAACATAAACACAATCCTCCCATTTCAGAGCATCCGACGAGAACGAACACCCACGGCTGTAATCTTCCCTAATGCTCTCCAACCCTGCCCCCGCCGCCGCCGCCGCCGATACCGTTTGCCTTTTAATTTCAAACGTCTGAGCTGAATCCTCTTCCTCTATCTCGCTTGTGCTGCTGCTGTACCTGTACGTGCTGAACTCGCTTCCGAACCCATCATCGCCGTGAAAATTACCGGCCTCCGCCGGAGACGGCAACGCCGACATGGCCGATGAAAACTAGGTATTGTGGTTTGATTGATTTGGGGAAGAAGAAAGCAGTTTTCCAACTTCTTGGAGCGATGTTTAAATATAAATGAGGAGTTCAGTTAATTTCTTTGCTTTGACTTTTTCGGTACGGTCCCCTCCACCTATATTATATTATTCAACTTAATATCTTCATCCTATATAATCATTAAACTTTAAAAATTAAAATATTCGAATTAATTTTTTTTTAGAGCTGAATCTCGAGAATTTGAACTCATGAGTTTAAAGATAGTTACCCATATAATCAACCAAAATAACATTTTTAATGGCAGACTCTAAACTATAACTAATACGTCAAAAAATTGCTAAAATTATATTTTAATACGACAAAAATTAAATTTATCCTTATTAGAATCTTATCATTATGGCTATATATATAATATAAATAATAAGAGTTATTTGAATTTAATGTTTAAATGATTTTATTTGTAGCTATTTGAATTAAATTTTTTTAATTTAAAATTTTAGAGACTAATTTATTTCTTGGAAAAGGACATTTTAATTAAACAAAATATATGGTAATGTTTTTTTTTTTTTAATAAATAATTTAGAAAATAGTTTTATATATATATATATATCAATTATAAGGTGGCGTACCAAAATTTATAAGCTAAAAGGAAATATATGGAATACATAGGTGTAGGTGGGTGTCAAAGTTGACATGGGCCAAAATACCATTGGAATATTCGAATAATTGCCGTTTTTAATATTTCGATATTTTTTAAGTCAATGTAATGATTTAATGTTTAATATATATATCCTTTATTATTCTTTAATTTAAGTTCTTTATTGTATTAATATTTCAAAATTGTAATTTTTTAAATAATAGGGTCCAAATTAAAATGTAGAACAAAATACGCTTGGTCCAAAAAAGATATTTGTAAAAGCCCATACTGAAACTACCGGCCCATTAAGTGGGCCTTTCGCGAAGCCCAACTCGAAAGGAATTGTTTGAACCGGCCCAATATGTAAAAGAATTAAATTTTGACTTACTTTTCCCTAAATCTTTGACAATTTAATTCATAATAATTTACAAATTTATTAATCTTATCTTATTTCAATATTTTAGCAATTCATATCGGAATAAATTATTTTAATTATTAACGAATGTATTTCATAAAAAAAAAAAAAATAATAATAATAAATAGATAGAAAATTCAGAAAGAAATTATAACACAAACTACCATAAACAAACCGTGACTCACAAGAACAAATTATAAAAAGATATACCCATTATATTCTCCTCTAATGTCAACTATTGAATGCTGTGTATGGAATAACAAATTATTCCCTTATTTTAATATGAATATGTAGCCAATTGACATATATTAATTTTAATTTATTTTTTATTTCTTTGTATTAAAAGGAAAATTATAAATATGAAGCGATTGAATTATTCCCTTAATCAGATTGATAAAAAATTGGATGAGATTCATAGGCCTCGTTTACCAATCCTTTCAAAAGTGTTTGTGTACCTAAACCACTTGGTTATGTATATAGCTTTAGAGGAACCTTTCGGTTCGGTCTACTTTTCTAGGTCTAAATATTACATTTTTTTTTATTGCTTATTTGTATTTTTTTTAATTTCTTTGTCATAAAAAGAACATTTTAATTTTAAAAGCTATGACTTTTAAGTTTTATTTATTTATTATTATTTTGTTATTTTAATGTTTGGCATAAGAAAATGGAATATGTGAATTCGTTTGTTTTTATTTATAATAAAGTGCCTTTAAAGGAAACTATATTAAATATCATCATTATATCTCTTTACAAATTAGTTTATATAATATTGTAAGAGATAATAAAATATTATTAACAAAAAAAGGAAAAAATCCAAGTCATTACATGTTTGCCCATTGTTTTGCTATGATACAATAAAAAAAAATTTGATATTTAAAATTATTTCTAATATTTTATTTTAAATAATTAAAAAACCTATTTTAAATAAGGTAAAAGTCAGTTTTAAACATTTTAAAATCATTTCCAAGGATACCCTTGAGAACATAAATACGAAGCAAAAGATATTTTGTGCATATATATATTCAATGCATTTTTTGAAGGGGTATTGAAAAAAATGGGTTACCGATTGAAAGGAGATGTTGAAGTAGTCTGTATCTATCTTTTGGTTGGCAAAAACGTGTCGGCATATGATTTCTAGACATGATAAAAGTGTCTATAAAGAATATTATGGTTCGATAGCGAAACTCAAAGGTTTTGCTTACTTGAAACTTTGAAGTCCACCGTGAACTAAAAACGCTCTTAAAGTCTATGAACAAAACTTACATCCAAAGAAGTCATTGCCCGAATACGAATCAACGGCTCTAATTAACTTGAGAATCACTGATTTGTCAACAAAAGCAATCAATTTTCCAGGCTTGAGGATCCAACAATTAAGGGAAATGGCATTTTGTTTTGATGAAAATTAAGTGGCAACAGGGTTTGGGAATCAAATGGTAAAGGGTTTATGTAACGACCAGTTGGACGACCAGGATTGAATGTTTGTGGTCTATATTGATTAGTGGAGAATCTTGAAAAAAGAACACGAAAGGGAAAACTGGAAACAAACACGAAGAACCCATTCAGAATGTTGCCTTTCTTTGAGATTCCGACATACCTTTTATACTTTTCCCAGTCCAGGCAAAAGACACTCACTTTTGCGTCAGTTCCACAGCATTTGAAATGGACAGAGTCATGGAGAAGCGTTGAGTCGGTGTGCGACCCCTTTAGTATTTAAACACCAGCTTGGCCCCCAAAGATTGTGACTTGTAAGATCTTAGGTTCCCTTTCTTGTCCCGACCCTTGTTCTAACACAGACTGTCGCATTCAAGCATCGTCATTCTCGTACTTCACGATGGGTATCAATTCTCAGGAAGCGATCAAGAAACTCAAGGCTTTGATGGATCATGGTCTGTTCATCAACTCTGTTTTCTTGCTTCAATTTCATTCGCTAATTCTCATTTGATCTTTGTTCTTTTTTGATTTGGGACTCTGCAGTTGATCAGCCATTGAAGAAATCCTTCCAGGTTTGCCATCTCCTGTTTCTGATAACAAGTTCATCAAAATGCAGTTAGTTCATGTTAATGACATTGGATGATTTATTTGCAGAATCTTCATCAAGGATTCTTGATGGAAACGCTGGAGCGTTTCCTAAAGGCACGTGAATACGATGTCAGCAAAGCCCATAAAATGGTTAGAAACATGTTTTTGTTCAACTTCTGTAAACATCAAACTGTCATATGCATTATTACTAAGATAGCTCCTCTGATGTTCAGCTGGTGGACTGCTTAAAATGGAGGGTGGAGAATGAGATTGACAAGATATTAAGGGTAAATGTTTGAACTGTTGTCATTCACTGCGATGGCCCTCAATTCTTTTTGTTGATATCATTTTATTGTCTGCAGAAGCCAATATTTCCTGCTGATGTCTACAGAGCAGTGAGAGATTCACAGCTTGTGGGACTCTCGGGTTACTCAAAAGAGGTCTGATTTTGTTCATCAACATCTATCTCAATTAACCAAACTAACGGACCAAGCCCCGCTAGCCGTCAAGGATTTTGAAACGCATCTACTAGAGAAAGGTTTCCACACCCTTAAAAAAAAATATGTTTTGTTATCTTCTCCAACCGACGTGGGATTTCATAATCCACCCCACTTTGAGGCTCAACCTCCTTGTTGGCCCGATATCTGGCTATGATAGAACCGTTCAAGCCCATCACTAGCTGATATTGTCCTCTTTCGGCTTTCCCTTCTGAACTTTTCCTCGAAGTTTTTAAAACGCGTCTACTAAGTAGAGGTTTCCATACCCTTATAAACAATGTTTTCGACGTCCATTTCCCGGTCATTCTAGGCTGCCTTGTTCTAATAAGATGATCATATGCTGACCTGAAACTTGTTCTGTTTCACGTCAGGGCCTTCCTGTATTTGCCATCGGCGTTGGGCTCAGCACATTAGACAAAGCAAATGTAAGTATTCAAGTTCAGTTTGTCAATATTCCATATGAATAATTGACCCTTTTTGTGAATTTGAAAATCAGTGAGAAATTTGTTCTGTACACAGGTGAACGACTACGTGCAGTCACACATACAAATCAACGAGTATCGGGATCGTGTTGTTCTGGTGAGTTACCAAATTCTGGAATTCAATCGAACCTCCTTTATTCAGTATCATTAACACGTACACTTTTTGCTGTAGCCTTCGGCATCAAAAAAGTATGGACGCTCTATCACCACCTGCGTGAAGATCTTAGACATGACTGGTCTGAAGCTATCAGCCCTTGGCAATGTAAAGGTACTCTCTTTGCCTGCAATTTTCTCCAATATGATTCCATTTCTTGTGGTTCTAATTTTTCCAAATTAACGACAAATCCACACGATAAGATCACGAAGTTATTATGTTTGCTTGAATTGGAGGATTCTTGTCGGTTTGAATCCCAGCCTCACAATTTTGAGGGAAGGAAAAGAAAAGATTCGAAGCATTGTTTAGAGGAATTTCTTTCTGACCATTATTTTAAAGCAAGATCATAATGGTGAAGGACATATTCTCCATAATAAACAAAACTACAGCAGACTTTATGATGTGTTTTGATACCTTAAATATGCAATTTACGACGAATCTCTACGTCGTTCGTTCGTTCGTTCGTTCAACCGCGCTCCTGTTTATGTTCCTGCAGTTATTGACAATTTTATCAACCATTGATGATCTGAACTACCCTGAGAGGACGACTGCTTACTATATTGTAAATGCACCTTACGTTTTTTCATCCTGTTGGAAGGTAAGCCATTGAAGAGATTGATCTTTGGTTGAAACTTTTCTGATGTTGAATGTGACGTCCCACGTTGGTTGGGAAGGAGAACAAACCACCATTTATAAGGGTGTGGAAACCTTCCCCTAACAGACGTGTTTTAAAGCCTTGAGGGAAGCTCGAAAGGGAAAGCCCAAAAAAAACAATATCTGCTAGAAGTGGATCTGGGTCGTTACGTTTAAAGGCATATAATCTTTTTTGATACTCTGCAGGTTGTCAAGCCTCTGTTGCATGAAAGGACAAAGAGAAAAATTCAGGTGTTACCAGGTTGTGGGAGAGATGAGCTGCTGAAGGTAAGCCCTGCATTATTTAAAGAATGTCAATGTAATGGACCACCCACGTTTTTGTTTAACAGCCCAAGTCTACCGCTAGCAAATAGTCCTCTTTAGAGACGTAACGAGCCAAAGTGGACAATATCTATTAGCGGTAGGCTTGAGTTATGATAAATATAGTCGTACCGAGTGTAATGAGATTCTCTGCTTGTTGTAGATAATGGATTATTCATCTCTTCCACATTTCTGCAAACGAGAGAGCTCATTGTCATCGTCTCGATCATCGGGTCATCAAGGAAGCCAAAATTGCTATTCCTTGGACCAGCCATTTCATCAACAGCTATACAACTACATCAAGCAGCAATCCTTGATGACTGAAGCTGTTGAGCCAATTAGGAAAGGATCTTTCCATGTGAATCTTCAAGTGCCTGTGTCAAAAAGCAAAGGGGCGGCTAAAACTATTGAATCTGAGTTACGGAAGTATGGCAGTGGGCTTTCTGATACATTGATTGAACTTGAAATAATGTAGGGATGAATTTCTTTCATTAATGGAGAGATGGTGGAAAGAAAGATCTGGTTTTACTGATCCTTACACTGTATCTCTATATGAACAGACCCAGTTTCATGATGGTAAATCCAAAGACTTGTAGAAATTAACCACTAGAGCAGTTAAGAAACATGTCTACGATGTAGCTTGAAATGTGTCGGGTCATATATAAAGTTGGCTTTTCACAACTAAATTACTTAATTTCAAAGCTTGGAGAAGATGAACGATATTCATATGATAAACTTCAAAATTAATGAACAACAACGTGCCTGAAAGTAAAGGTTTGATGCGGGTTGCCTCTGCCCTGAGGCGCGCCGTGAGGTGCTTAGGGACTGAACGCATCCAATCTCGTTGAATGTAGCCTTTCATAACAAAAAATGAACCATGCTTTAGCAGTAAGAATTCTACCTTTGTAGAAACCGTAGCTTGCAAGAATGTATTTCAACGATGTAGAAGTTCTTCACATTCCACGAGATCTTTCTTGCTAAGATTTGAACACAAGTCGTTTGGTACCTTATTTTGGGTACTCTACTTCATGCCATTGATGTATCAACGCCCAAATGATGCCGCTGTTGATATGAAAGCCACTCCTTTGGAAGTGCTTATCAATCCACGCTTGCCTCGTTCACTCTATCAATAATTGACGTTCTTCATCGTGTCGTGTGGAATTAGCAGCAGCTGAAATTGTCTTGTACTGCTGTAAGCTGTATTGTCTGATCGTTGGTTGTTCTAATACACATTGCTCTCTGATTGTGATTTCTCTCAATGCTCTGAATTTCATGGTTTGTCCTTTCAATTTTCTATTAATAACTCAGGTTTTAAAAAGCTGTGAACTTTTTGCTTTATTTTTTGCAAAGACCCATAAAAATAATTTAACTACAAACAGTTCCCATAAACCAAATTCCAAAAGAGGGTAAATTCCCAAAACCCCACCAAAAAAAATTATTATGGGGGAAAAAACCAAAAGACACTGGAAAATTGATTGGGTCCAACGTAGAAAGATGCAATTTTGATGAGTAAAATGAAGGAAAATGGGAAATATTACTGTCGCTGAGAGGGAAGTTAGAACGTGCCATCCACGATGAGAGGGGGAAAGAAAGCATGAGAGAGAGAGAGAGAGTGAGGGGGGGAAGCGAGGCGTGGGATCAGATTCAGGACTTTGTCAACCATGCCGTGAAGATGATTCCTGTTATCCTTATACCCCATCATCATTGGGTCACCATTCGATCTTCCTAACTCATCGGACAGAACATTAATCTTTTCTTCACTCTGTTTCACAGTTTTTCTCCTTTTCATTTTCCTTCCAATTCTGTAACATGAACTATGAAGCATAGGCCTTCGAGGGTTTCTCTTTGATGTGGTCCCTAATCGCTTGATTTTTATTTTGTTCTTTCTTTTTCTGTGGAGAATCGTTTTCCCCCCCATTTTCTTTCTTTTTCGCCCCCCCCCCCACAAGCGATTCTACAAGTGGGTTTTTTTTATTTTTTTTTTATTTTTTAAATTTACTTCCCATTTATCCTTGTTCGTATTAATGGGGAATGTGAACGGGAGAGAAGATGAGGATGGCAACCCATCTGGGGCGGAAGAAGAAGAAGAAGAAGATGAGGAAGTCGGTGGTGGTGGTCAGGGGAGTCTGCCGGATGGCCTGGCGGCACCGCCCGATTCCCACCGTGGCTACCACACCGGCGATCCGCCTGCTGAGCTGATGGGTCATTCCCCTCCTCGTAGTCCTCGCGCCATTCCATCTCCACTGATGTTCACTCCTCAAGTTAGTTCCCTTCACTTTGCCTTTACTTGCGTTTCTGGTTCGATGAAATTGATATCTGTATAATTGGAAATGCCTTTTGTTTCCTTTTCCGCTAAGCTTCTGCGGGGAATCTTGCCCTTTTCGTGTCCTTACTTTTCCTGCACAGTACATGTTTGATTTAAGTCCAACATGAATAAATTGACAATTTGGTGAATCTACAGGGCTATTATTACTACAATTCTTTGTGCAAATTCGATTGATTACCTCTTTCTTTTATTTTCTCATTGGAATCTTGATAGAAAATTGATTTTCTTTGAACTTGTGTAGCTTGTAATTCACTTTGAATGCCTAGAAAGTTTACACCAATGTTCTTCTTTAGTTCTTATCATTGATATTACTGTAGGTTAGTCTGTGGAATATTCTGTGATATCCATGATTCGAGTTCTATCTTCTTACAGGTACCAGTTGTTCCACTGCCAAGACCTGATGAGGTGCACAACACAAGCCAGTCTTGGATGAATAACAGTTCATGGGTTGATGATGTTAGCACTGAACAAGGAATCCCAACGATGATAACGTGGAGTCATGGAGGCAAGGAAGTAGCTGTTGAGGGATCTTGGGATAACTGGAAAATGAAGTTTGTTTCTCTCTTATCTTGATTCGTAATTCGGTTCGTACTTAATCGACTGCCATCTGATGCCTAATGTCTTGTTCTTGATCAGAATACCCTTGCAGAGATCTGGGAAGGACTTCACGATTGTGAAGGTACTGCCTTCTGGTGTTTACCAGTATAGGTTTATTGCTGATGGACAATGGAGATATGCTCCTGACTTACCTTGGGCTCAAGATGATTCCGGCAATGCTTACAATATCTTGGACTTGCAGGTAAAAACATCTCTTTTTAGCACACCACTGCTTATGAATGGAAGTAGGACAAGCTATTACCATAGCTGATTTTACTGTTGCAGGACTATGTCCCAGAAGACATTGAAAGCATTTCTAGCTTCGAACCTCCTCAATCCCCGGAGTCGAGTTACAGCAGTTTGCAGCTTGGATCTGAAGATTTTTCGAAGGAGCCACCATTGGCTCCTCCTCACTTGAAATCCACGTTGCTTGACATGCCTTGCCCATACAATGAGATTTTGCCTCCTTTGTCAAGACCTCAGCATGTGATGCTGAATCATCTTTATATGCAGAAGGAAAGGGGCGGTCCATCTGTCGTGGCACTCGGGATGACTCACCGGTTTCTAGCAAAGTACGTAACCGTTGTCCTCTATAAATCGTTGCAGAGATAATGTAGTATAGGCATATCCTGTGTGAAAGAAATTCAAAATCTAAACCCATTTTTCCTTACTGTAGCTTTATATGGTGTTGATGCCATTTCATTTTAACACTTCTGAATTAACCAGGACGTCTGAATGGATCGTTCTTCAAGACTCTACCTTACATGATGGCATCTCTTTTTGATCTGACATGCATTTGATCTGACATGCATTTTAACCATTTAGCAACCTTTTTCCCATCATTGTCGTAGGATCTTTCATTTCACTCCCTTTCTACCTATCATGTAGCTTTTGCCAGTGAACCAATCTATTCGGGATGCCAATATAGTCTTAACCCATGAGAGCCCTCAATTGTTGGAGAGGAGAATGAAGCATTCTTTATATGAATGTGGAAACCTGTCTCTAGCAGACGAATACTAAAAACTTTGAGGGAAAGCCCAAAGGATGTATCTGCTAACGGTGGGGTTAAGCTGTTATACCAAAATATTAAACCGTTGTGTTCTAGTAGAATAGAGTTGAAAATGTGAAACCATTGGAGAGATTACCATTAGCCATTAACATCACATACATTAACACGGATACAAGTATCTCAGAAGATACAAAACGGCAAATTCAGCCAAACTACAAAATGGAAGTGCAGTGAGATACTACATTATTGAACAGCCATTGGGGTTCTCATCGCTGAAAATCCGTTCAGGGTAATAATATGCGTACTCAGTGTAGTGTTTGGTTGGCCAATGCTCAAACCTTTTGATATCAAACTTCTTATCATCTTCTTCCTGTGTCTCTTTCTTCTCCTCTGGTTTCTCTTCAGCTGCTGGTTTTTCCACTTCCTTCTTCTCCTCTTCCTTCTTTTCTTCTTCCTTCACTACTATGGAAGCTGGCTTTCTGGTTCTCTTCGAGACCTCGTTGACCAGCGTCGTAGCATCCATAACCCCTTTTACGATCACCCTATTGTTGGACGGTTCTGTTTCCACGGACTCTACACCTGCAGTCCATTTTTCTTACATGTTCTTCTCATTAAAGTATCAGAAAAGAAAAAAACTGTACCTTTGATCTTCCTGATCCGCTTCCTTAAACCTTGAGCACAAGCCTCACAATGCATCTGGACTTGCAGTACCACTGTTACCACTGCTGGAGGTGGGGGGGTGGCCTGCAACAAGTTTTAGATGTTTATGTTAGGATGAGGAACATATTCTCCATCTCTATCCCCGACATAATTTAGAAGAATTTCTTTCCCTTACGTCTTTGTTTAAACAAGTCGGGTCCCCGAAGATGGGCGAAAAGAAACAACAAAAAAAGTAAGATAAAAAAGACCCGTGAGTAGATGGCAATGTGTCTGTGGTATTAAGTATGGGAGTGGGGTCAAAGGGTTTTGGAGGCCATAAATAAGAGCTACAGCAACGGGAAGAGGCCTGTAATGTGCATGTGTGTGGAACCAAGAGAGGGCTGAGAGTGAAGTGAGGTGGAGTGGGGTCTCCATTTTCAGGCCTTTTCTTTTGTTTTGTTGTTTTCATGTCAGTTCTCCCAACTCCCACTCACCACCACTCCTATTCCTGCTCTCTCTTTCTCTTCATTTCCAACTTTCAAATTTTGCCTCACTTTCCATTTCATCTTCCCAATTCTCATCCTATATTCGATCACTCAACAACAAACCACCCAATTATGAACCCAGAGAAGAACAAAGGCAGACGCTAGAACCTAGATATAACAGTCCAAACGATATTGTCCGTCATATCGCTCTTAGCCTCATAGTTTTATAGGGAGAGGTTTCCACACCCTTATAAGGAATGTTTCATTTCCCTCTCCAACCAGTGTGAGATCTCACAATCTATCACAATCTACCCTTCGAGCACCGCCCGGTGTTTGACTCTTATAACATTTGTAACAATTTAAGCCAACCACTAGCAGATATTGTCATATTTGAATTTTTCTCCTGGACTTTCCCTCAAAATTTTAAAATGTGTTATGTGCATGGATGATAATGCAAGGTAAAGGGAAAGTTTCCTTTTTTTCTTTGTTTTTTTTTTCCTTTCCAATAAAACTGATAACTTTACCTCCTCCTTTTTCTCCTCCTTTGGCTGTTTCTCATCTTCTTTAGGTTGTTGTTCAGGAGGCTTAGGCAATGGCGAGATTAGCTCCACTTTTCTCCCACTTTTCTTCTGTAATCTCTCACACACTTTCAAAGGATCTACCTCTTTCCCTTTCACCACCACCTTCCCTGCTCTGCTATCCGTTGTCACAGTCTCCACTCCTTCAAAAACCAAGATTTAACAAAAACACCCTTATACTCAAACATCTCACATTTAACCGTACAAAACTATCAGTCACATTGTTTAAGAAAAACTGACCCTGGAACCCTCTGAGGGCTCGGGCGACTTTTCTAGCACAGGCTTCACAATGCATATCCACTTTAAGAACAATCTCTGAGGGTGACTCCTCTTCATTCTTCTTACTGTCTTGTTTCTTTTCTTCTTCTGTTGCTGCTGCAGCTGATTCAGTTGGTTCCTCCTGTTCTTGTTTGGTTTCTTCCTTCTTTTGATCTTCTCCTTCCTTCTTGATTTCCTGTAAAGGGTGTTAAAAAAAAAACATTTTTCTTAAAAGGGTTATTAGTGTGTACCCTTAAAGGAATGAGAGAAATTTGCTTACTTCACCCATCAGCTCTATGATTGCAATCGGAGGCTTCAAATTCACTTCTCTCTTTCTTTTTCTCTGCTTCTGTTTCTGTTCAACTGTGGATTTTATAGGTGTGGTGGAGTAAGAGGCTTAAAAGGTCGGTAACGTGCAAATCTGACGTGGAGGTATTTAATGCAGTCTCTCACTCAACATTACAATTTTGCCCTTTACTTTCATCATAATTACTACGCTTTAAAAATGATCCACAAAAATTTCATGGTAAGTGGATGGATTAACGGTTACCTAAGAATAAACTCAAGTTTTGCACAAGATTAAATTAGATTAATGTATAAATTAATCATTAAGTAATATTTGTTGTGCGCCGAGAGCGGAACAAATGTATTTACATACGTGGTTTGGAGAGAAGAAGTTCTCCTACATCCACGGGTAGCAACCAATCACTAATAAATCCAAGTGTTACAAGTGAATGCCTCCCTATCACACTACAAAGTCTCTCACCAATATGTCACTCGACAAATACAGTGATATCAAATCCCGATATTTAATTAGTACACTATTTTGTTTGTTATATTTGAAAAAAAATAATGATAAAAAGAAAAAAAAAACAAAAGGGTATTTGCTTTATGAATGAGTACGAATTTATATAAAAAGAAAAAAAAGGTGTCACATGTTTGTCAAATAATTTTTACAATAATTATAATAATAATAATGTATAGGAGAAATTGTTTTTTATTTATTTATTTATTTATAGAAAAGAGATAAATTTTTTAAAAAGGATAAAAAAAAAGTGTGGATTTGGGACAAGTATGGTCAATTTTAGGTAGGGTTGGTGGATAGAGATTGAATTGCATAATGATCAGAAAATGGAACCCACCAGCACTTTTGATTCCAAGCCCAAGCCACCCACACCAATGCCTTCCACTCGGGTCGCCCTGCCCAAGACCCATTTTTTTCAACCGGTTCGGTTCGTTCAAGGGACCCACCTACACACTCATCAAAACGTGTTGACTTTGGTTACTAAATCATTTTACCTACTAATTATAAGCTTAAGGTTTAAATACCTGTCAAGTAACTTCCATTTTAAGGTTATTTTAGTAATTATACTTTTAAAAGTAAAACATTTTGTGTTTTCGTTTTCGTTTTCATTTTCATTTTCATTTCTACTTGAAATATAACAATTTTTTATTAAAGAGTTTCTATTATTAAATTTTGCAAATAAATACTAAATTCACGAGTATAAAAAATAAAATTAAAAAAAAAAAGATTTGTGTGTAAAAATAACGAAAAAAGAAAAATGAAGGGTGAAAAGGGAAATGAAAAGTCATGCTTTTTGAAAGCCAAAAAAACAGCCGTCAAGTTTTGCGTTTTGTCCTCTTTCTCTGTCGTTTCGTCGCTTTGATTCTCAAATTTTTACGGCCCACGTACGGCACGGCCCAGCCCAACTCATACTGTCGTATTTATCAAAACATTTAATATAAATAAAAAATGTTGCAAATTTTATACTTTCATAAGCTTTTTTCAAATATACTGTTATTTAAAAAAAAAATGGTTAAATTCGAAAAAAAAAACATAATCCATATAACTAAAGTACAGTAAAAATGGTTAAATATAAGGAATGATGCAAGTAGAATCACTGTAAAATCGAAAAAAATGTTAAAATATTACATTACACTTTACAGATGATTTATTTTTAAAAAGCGAATCAAATATAATATTTTTGACGTCTTTATTTACTGTTAATTAAATAAAAACGAATTTAACAAGGTGTATGGAATATTGATGACTTCATATTAACTGTTGGGTTTCCGCAAGAATACAAGGGGACAGTTCTTAGTCGTCTTCGTATGACGTGGGGTTGAAAGATAATTATATTTATTATTTATTGTCTGGCTTTAATTATAATAAGAATCGTGTGAGACTTTTTAACTTATATTGGAGGGTTTTTTAAATCTATATTTTAATTAGATTAAAAGGTGAAGTTAGTGAACAAATTAATTATTATTATTATTATTATGTTCAATATTTAAAATTAATTAAGAGTATAATTGGAATCCTGTGGCTGACGTGGAAAGAAAAAGGGCCCACAAAGTGCACTTGTCACCAATTACGAGCGGAAAGGGATAAGCAGCAAGTTGGCCTCAACCTTTGGGAAGCTCCCAGAATTAACCAGCCGCCGGTCATGACTCACCATTGTGTAATATTTGCGCACATGATTACGAGTCGTGTCGGTGGCGTCGGTGTAACGACGATTTTTATTTTTTAATTCTCTTCCCATTTTGTCCCTCTTATTATTTTAGTTTTGTTAAATTAAATAAAAATAGAGACGATTTTGTATATTTATTTTTATTATATTGTTTTTTTCGAAAAAAATCGTTAAACCAAGGATTATTTTTTAATCAAAGGCAGCACATGTGGACGACGTGAAATAAGACTTCAATTTTGTCAAAAGAAGGCCTGAAATTCAACGCCTAATTCTCCACAAGTCCACGTGGCGAAATATGATTGGTCACATCCAATTAATACACAACCCCCATATCATTTTTATTTTACAGCCATCTGCTCTGTTTCCAGATCGCTTCGCTTCCTTTTTAATCATCCCATTCCCAATTGACCAAGAGGAATCATTTCAGCTCAGTTTCAGATCAGAGCTTCCTCTCTTGAGCGGCCGCCATGGAAGAAAAGGTTCCTTCTTCCTCTTCCTCTTCCCCGCACTCTGTTCTTCCCCATCACACGGATTTCGATTCCCTCTTCTAAAAACCTTATTTTTTTTCTTGTAGGTAACGCTTATGGTGTTGAAAGTTGACCTCGAATGCGAGCGTTGCTACAAGAAAGTCAAGAAAGTTCTTTCCAAGTTCCCTCGTATGAATCTCTCTGTTCTTCCCCTGTTTTTAATTTAAGAGAAAAGTTTTAAATCTTGAAGCTTTTTGTAGTTTATTTTGATGGGTTTTTCGCTTTTTGTGTTAGAAATTCGAGATCAGGTTTATAATGACAAACAAGGGACGGTGCTAATCAAAGTGGTTTGCTGTTCGCCTGAAAAGATCGTGAAGAAAATCTGCTGCAAAGGCGATGGATCCATTAAGAGCATCGAGATCAAAGAGCCTGAGAAAAAGAAAGAGGAGAAGAAGGAAGAGAAAAAGGAAGAGAAAAAGGAAGAGAAGAAGAAAGAAGAGAAGAAAGAAGAGAAGAAAGAAGAGAAGAAAGAAGAGAAGAAGAAAGAGGAGAAGAAAGAGGAGAAGAAGAAAGAAGAGAAGAAGGAGGAGAAGAAGGAGGAGAAGAAGAAAGAGGAGAAAAAGGACGAGAAGAAGGCGGAAGGGGAAAAGCCGAAAGTGGTGGTGCAACCGGTTCAAGGCTACCCACCGCTGCCGTACTCGGTTTGCTGCACTTCATGTTACGAGGGTCGGCCGTGTTACCAATACCAATACCAATACAACGGCTACGGGGTACCGGCGGCGGCGGCGGCACCGTACTATGTCGGACGACCTGTTTACGACAGCTACGGCGGGAGGGGATATTCGATGGGGCAGAGTTCTGATTACTACAACCCAGAAAATCCAACAGGATGCTCAATCATGTGATTGTGAGTGCTACTGCTATGAGACCCATGTTCGTAATTGTGATCCTGACGGTAAATTATGAACGGTGGTGAAAATTCATGTCCTTTTTGTTTCTTTGTGTTGAAAGTTGTAACTAAAAGCGTTCCTACTGAGAACAGAAAAATAAAAACCATGGAATGGAAGGATATTTGGTTTGTTTCATATTACATTTATAAATTATAAAGTTTGTCTTTATCATAGATTCTCTTAATCAACAAATCATTTATGTTTTAATTAAAAAGAAAATAGAATTTTTAAAAAATAGTGATGGAGTTAGTCATGACGTGATTAGGACATAACAACTCGATTTCAATCGGACAAAGTTTGATTAAAGCATACGTACCTGTAAGTCTAACCAAAGATGCTCTTCAATATTTTTTTCTTTTTTCTTTTTTTAACTCATTATTAAATTCTAAAACTTTAGACACCTATTTTAAATTGAAAATTTTAAATCATTTTTATACGCTAGCTTAAAGATCTAGCTAGGTTGAGTTGGAATTTCTTTTAACCCACAAGTAATTTTCGGATTAATTGGATTGATGGTCCAAATAGTCTGAATATGGTTCACACCATATCTTAACTCAACTTAACTCTCTTTTTTGAAATTGGGTCATCCACGTGTTTATTTCTTTTATTAATTAATAAAAAATATGTTTATTCACCATATATATTATATTAATAATTAAAATTTTATAAAGTCTCGGATATTAAATATTTACATATCATTAGTAAATATCATGTATTCTTCATTTTTATAATAATTTTAAAAATTAGTGTTGGATTTGGTTGAGTAACGGGCACAAAAATGTTCTAATTCGTAACAATTTCTAACAATTTTAAAATTAGTGTTGGGTTTGATTGAGATGGTTGAGTAACTCGCACAAAACTGTTCTAACTCGTAACCCGAACCAAATTATCAGTATTTCGAAAATTTGAACCAACTCAAATTATAAAAAAAAGAAAAAGAAAAGAAATCCTTACCGTTTAAGTTAGGTAGTTTGAATTATTTAATTCATCCGGTATGAATGCTCTAATATATATCAACGTAAAAGGTAACTTAATTATGAATTCATAGATAATTACTTGAATGAATATAGTTGCCAAATCATTCCACCAACCACAATTTCTAAAACCTAACATATAAAACAAAAATAAAAAAAATTATTCCACGTTATCTACGTGGAATTAGAAAAAAAAAATGCACTTATTTATTTTAAATATGGCATCCATTTCATTTTCCACCAATAAAAAGAGTGGAATTTTTGGAAACTGAATGCGTGTGGGGCCCATAGATTAGGGACCCATCTACATGTCCTAAACCAAAATTTAAGTGATTAATTAATCCATCTTAAAAACAAAAAAAATAACCAAAATCCCATAATGATTCCTAATTAAGTGATTGGTTAGCAGGTTGAACAAACTTAAGGCAACGCTAAACTCAAT